AAACAGAGAAATATAATCGATTACCAAAAGAAATAATGGGCAAAACACAAAGGGCCCAAGCCAGTTGCGATGGAGAGCAAATTGGCGTAACATTCGTTGTTTGAGACAACGGGAATCAGAGAAGGCTCCCCCTCTTATTCAATGAATTTGAATAAGGGAGTAAAAGTGAGTCCAAAAATTATTTTGTGTGTCAAACGATGTACACGAAAAATATTTGAATAAAATATTTTTGCTTACCAAAAATATTTTATAATATCAAAATAAACATTTGATAAATGTTTGACACACTTTTTGTAACTGACTCAATAAAACTATTTTGAACAGTTAAAAAGATTTTTCAACTGTCTCAAAAAATAAATATAATTTTTATTTTAACTCTCATAAAAACAATTTTGGAGAGAAGATATTTTTGTCATCCTTACAAAAATTCCTACGACTCAAATAAATAAAAGTCTTCGGAAATCTTCTACTCCTCCGAGTCCTCCGTTAGGCGCTCCGAATGCGTCTCGGACTTCAATAAAATCCTGTGCACCTTCTTGAATACTTCAAGGAATGGCACTTCAAGTCTTCGTGTTTGTCGTTGTAGCACTTTGATCTTGACTTGAATAAATTGTGTTTGTCAATTATCAAAACCTGTGAGTCAACACTTAACAACACAGAAAGGGTTGAACTCATGCATTCCAACACTTCCTTCTTCGCCTTGTATATTCAAAGTTTGACTTGATCACGGCGGTTTGGCATTATCAAAACCTGTCATAAAAACAAACACGGCTTTAGTACGAAAACGTGACATGCCCGTGTTTCAACAAAGAACTCCCTCATCAACTCCATATATTTCCAGTCCATTCCCCCACAAAAACACCCTTCTTCCTGCCCAGAATTCTGCCAAATAATCGATTATCATTCCCCACATTCGATTATCAATCCCATTGGAAACACCTGCAGGGCTCAATAATCGATTATCCCTTTAAGATAATCGACTATCAGCTTCCCCAGAAATTCTGCAGCTTTTAGTAATCGATTGTCACTTTGTGTAAATCGATTATCTCCTGCTCCAGAACCCTGAACTCAAAGCTGAATCATTCCTTGATTCCTCATCAAAATAGCCACTCGTTTAGACCCCCGGTTCGGGCCTAACATTTGGTATCAAAGCTTTGTGTTGAACATCCCTAAGGGATCATCTTTACACGCCTCCCTCATCTCTTTTGTCAACCATACACTCTTCAAGCAATATATCCACCATGCCAAGCTCTTCTCAAAACATGTTTCAAGGGGAATTAGCTGCTGCCCAGGAGACACTAAAGTTGGAAGTTGAGCTTGTGATGAAACAAATCAAGGAGCTCACTAATTCAGTGGAGATTCCCACGTTTGAGGGAAGAATTGACCCGGAGAAGTTCTCAAAGTGGCAAGCAAAGGTTGAAGACGTCTTTACGCTCAAAGACGTGCCTGAAGACAAGAAGGTCAAGCTAGTGGTGGCAAAATTTCAAAGACATGCCTCTACTTGGTGGGCTAGCGTTGTTTCAAAACGAAAGCTCCAAGGCAAGGCTAAGGTGAGAACTTGGGAAAAGTTCAGAAAACTCTTAGTTAAGAGATTTTGTTCCAATGATCATATACACCAGGTACCTAAAACTACTCTCCCTTTTTCACCTAAAATTCTTTCTCAAGTCATATCACCATTTTAGTATATATTTAATATTATAATTATGGTTGTTACCTTTTTAGTTAGAGCTATTATTATATAATATGAGCACGGAGTACGGTATATTGGGAATTACGCTTGGATAGAGCAGCGAAAATATAAAATTTTTGATGTCCAAACATAGATCCACCCAAGATCCCTTATGAAAACATGAGTTAATGAGATTGGTCCAAGACCTTTTGCCACAAAAGTGTATGACCTCTAGTGTGTACACAAAAACATTGAATGGTGTTCTAGAGAAAAAAATATGCTAGTAATTTTCTCTAGAATATTTCTTAAAATATAAAATATTTGGAGTAAAGAATTGAAAGAACAAAACAATTTGGTCTCTTAGTTTTGGGGAGGAAGGGCCGAAAATCTCACTTATGAAAGAAGGAAGAATGATCTCCTGGTTATAAGGAATACAATCGCCATCCCAATCCAAATGAGAATAATATAACTTTTAAAGTTTAGGAAAAAAAATCAAATCACATTCCTACCTTTAATGCATATTTTCAGCCCTACAACTATTAGTAGCTTCCAATTTATTTTGTCCATATTAATTATCAAATAATTAATACAAATAAATATATTAACATGTATATATATATATATATATATATATATATATATATATATATATATATATATATATATATATATATATATATATATATATATATATATATATATATATATATATATATATATATATATATATATATATATATATATATATATGGGAGCGTCTAAAATGACACCAGTTGCTTACACCAGTTCGTTTGGGGTACCTACGGTGCCTCGTCTGTAAAAACGACGGTTCCTATCCCCCCTAACCCTCCCATAAACCCCCCATCCCAGCCCCACCCTTGCCCCCCAACCCCATCCCCCCTCCTGCCCCCTCCCTACCCTGGCAGTACACTCCAGGCAGTGTACTGCGAGGGTAGGGAGGGGGCGGGAAGGGGGGATGGGGTTGGGGGGGCAAGGGTCGGGATGGGGTGGGGGGTTTAGGGGGAGGGTTAGGGGGGATAGGAACCGTCGTTTTTACAAACGAAGCACCGTAGGTACCTCAAACGAACTGGTGTAAGCAAATGACACCAGTAGCACTTGTGTCATTTTAGATTTACGGTGTGTATATATATATATATATATATATATATATATATATATATATATATATATATATATATATATATATATATATATATATATATATATATATATATATATATATATATATATATATGGGATTGACTCCAGTGAGATGACACCTTATGGTGAGATGACATGCTTCGATCAGATGACGCAAAGCTCACCACTAGCCACTGCAAAGCCAACCATAGATAACTATAAAGCTCACCAAACTGTAAGGCAAAGCTCACCATATTTTTTTCAACACTTTAATTTTGTTTTTGAAAAAAGAAAATCAAAGGAAGGGTGCTGACTAGACTTTGACAGTTGACCGCCAGCATTGACCACTGTCTACCGCCGGTCGCCGGCCGCCACCGCCGGCCACCGCCGGACTCCGCCTAACTTCGGCGACCACCGCCGGCAGCCGTCGCCGGCCGCCTCTTCCGGCCACCGCCGTTGCCGTCCGCCACCTCCGGCCACCGCCGGTCTCCGTCTCCGGACTCCGGCCACTGCTCTTTGATGGCACCAACTACTCCTATTGGAAGGAACGGATGTGAATCTATATCCGTTCCACCGACTTCCAATTGTGGTTGGTTATCAAAAATGGCGAGCAAATCACAATGAAGAAAGTGGGAGAAACCACGGTCCCAAAGACTGAGGATGAGTTTTGTTATATCTAAGCTTAGGGTTTTATAGGTAATGACCTTGACTTAAGGAACACAGCTCCTTAATTTGCAGGGATGGGCGATAGTCGATTGTACAAAGTGGATAATTGATTGTCAAGGGGTTCAGGGTAAGTATGGTTAAGGTGCATGGTTCGGCAATGATTTCATTCCAAAAGGGATCATAACACTTGGACATTATTGCATTGATTTATTTAAGGTCTTGAGGACGATTTGTGGTACTCGGGGATATATCATCCTCCCCGTCTTCAGAAGAGTTTGTCCTCAAACTCGAAAGTTCTTCAGGGTCAAAATATGGGCTGAGATCCTTAACATTGAATGTAGCAGAAACTCCGTACTCTCCAGGGAGATTGACTTTGTAGTCATTGTCGTTGATCTTCTCCAAAACCTCGAATGGACCGTCAGCTCTTGGTAGTAACTTGGACTTACGTTTAGTGGGGAAGCGCTCCTTCCGCAGGTGAATCCAAACCAAGTCCCCGGGCTGAAAACTAGTGAATTTTCTTCCTTTGTTGATCCTGGTGCTAACCTTCTCATTAACCGCTCCAATCTTCTCTCGAACCTTGGCATAGAGCTCTTGAATTTCCTTGGACCTTTTATCAGCTCTCCAGCTGTATTGCTCTTTTCCTACGATGGGATCAAGCTCAAGCGGGGTGAGGGGGTTCGAGCCATATACCACCATGAACGGGGATAGTCCTGTGGTCTTGTTCGGGGTCCGGTTATAGGCAAACTCGGCGTGCGGCAGTAGCTCTTCCCATTGCTTGATGTTTCATTTGATTAGAACTCGAAGGAGAGTACCAAGCGTTCTGTTGGTGACTTCGGTTTGACCATCAGTTTGCGGATGGCTAGAGGTGCTGAATTTGAGCTTTGTGCCTAGCTTTCTCCACAAGGTCATCCAAAAATGGCTAAGGAATTTGGGATCCCTATCGAAGACCATGCTACGGGGTATGCCATTGAGTTTAACGACCTCTCGGAAGTAAAGATCGGCTACTTGGGAGGCATCGTATGTAGTTACACAAGGAATGAAATGGGCCATCTTCGAGAATCTATCCAACCACCATAATGGAATCTTTGCTTCATTGAGTTCGGGGCAACCCGGTAATGAAGTCCAGGCTAACATCTTCCCACGGGGCGTACGGGACGGGTAGGGGTAAGTGCATTCCTTGCGGTAAGGCTTGGGACTTTGCAAGTTGACAAGTGTGACATCTTTTGATGAAGTTCTCGACGTCTCTATCCATTTTTGGCCAGAAGTAATGCTCTTTCATCATCAAATAAGTCTTGTTAATTCCGAAATGACCGGCTAGCCCACCACCATGGATCTCGTCCATCAGGGTTTCACGAACGCTGCTCCTCGGGATGCAGAGTTGAATACCATGAAAGAGGTAACCATGTTTGATTAGGTAATCTCCATGGGGTCGAGAAAAGCATTGGGCATACATCTCCTTGAAATCTTCATCATCCTTGTAGAGTTCCTGCAAAAATTCAAAGCCAAGAAGTTTGGTACTAAGTACCTTTAGTAATAAGTGTCTCCGGGACAACGCATCCGCGCCTTTGTTCATGGATCCGTTCTTGTGCCTAATGGTGAATGTAAAGGTTTGAATGTATTCAACCCATTTGGCATGACGGGGTCAAAGCTTGTGCTGCCCTTGAATGTACTTCAACGCCTCATGGTCGGAGTGAAGGATGAATTCCTTACTCACGAGATAGTGTCGCCAATGCTCAAGAGACCGTACCAACGCATAGAATTCTTTGTCGTAGGTAGAATAGCGTCTCCGTGTGTCATTGAGCTTCTCGCTAAAGTAGGACACCGGATGTCCTTCTTGAGTAAGGACAGCCCCGATGCCAACTCCCGATGCATCACACTCTACCTCGAACAACTTCTCGAAACTGGGAAGGGCCAATACGGGGGCATGCGTCAAGCAATCCTTGATTGTTTCGAAGGCTTGTTGGGCCCTCGAGTTCCACTCAAACTTCGGGTTCTTTGTCAAGTCCGTGAGAGGTGCAGTTATGGTACTAAAGTCCTTCACAAATCACCGATAGAAAGATGCAAGGCCATGAAAACTTCTAACTTGTTGCATTGTTGTGGGAACTGACCAATCCCGTATGGCTTGTGTTTTCTTTTCATCCACCTTGATTCCTTCATTTGATATAAAGTATCCCAAGAACTCTGTTTCTTGAGAAAAGAATTGACTCTTCTCAAGGTTGCCATATAACTTCTCTTCTTCCAGTTTCTTAACCACCAAAGTGAGGTGATTAGCATGTTCTTCCACGTTCCGGCTGTAGATCAAAATGTCGTCAAAGTATACTACGACAAAGTTACCTATAAATGGCTTCAACACTTGATTCATTAGCCTCATGAATGTGTTTGGTGCATTGGTTAATCCAAATGGCATAACTAGCCACTCGTATAACCCGAACTTCGTTTTGAATGCTGTTTTCGATTCATCTCCCTCAAAGATTCAAATTTGATGATAACCACTTCGGAGGTCAATCTTTGAGAAGATATTGGATCCATGAAGCTCATCCAACATGTCCTCAAGCCTAGGTATGGGGTACCTATACTTGATGGTAATCTTGTTAAGGGCTCGGCTATCACAACACATACGCCAAGTGCCATTTTTCTTTTGTACCAAAAGAGCCGGAACAGCACAAGGGCTCAAGCTTTCTCTCACGAATCCTTTGGCTAATAACTCATCAACTTGTCGTTGGAATTCCTTGGTTTTCCCGGGATTCATTCGGTACGCAGGCTTGTTGGGTAGGACAGCTCCTGGAATGAGATCAATCTTGTGTTGAATGTCTCGTTTTGGTGGTAGGCCGTGAGGCGCATCTTCGAGAAATACATGGGAGAATTGTTCAACAACGGGCTTGGCTAACGGGTGAAGTGGGGATGGGGTTGTAGTGGAATCGGGTGCTTCATTTTCAAAGAGAATCAGTTCTTTTTGGGGCTTATACTCATGGTGTTCGGCTTGCAATATAGTGGAAATGAGGACATGGGTTTCTTCTTCGGATGGGGGGGAAACCGTGGGGTTTGAGGGGGGCAAGGATGTGAGGGTAACCTTCTTCTTTTTGATGAGGAATGAATATGTGTTGGCATATCCATCATGGAACACCTTCCGATCAAATAACCAAGGCCGTCCCAATAGAATATGGCAGGCATCCATTGAAATGATATCACACCATATCTTGTTGGAATAACTTCGTCCAATACTTAATGATACCAAACTCCGGGAATCCACACGTAACCCCTTGCCATGGTTCAACCATTGAATCGTGTATGGCTTCGGGTGTGGTGAGGTCTTCAACTTCAGCTTATCTACCAACGGTTTTGAAGCTACGTTGGTACAACTTCCGCTATCCACGATCAAAGTACACACCTTTTTTTGGATAGTACAACGGGTATGGAAGATGTTTTCCCGTTGTAGTTAATCATCAGGACTAGCTATGCTACTCAAGGTCCTTCGGATGACCAAGAGTTCGCCTTTGTCGGCTCCAACACACTCTTCGTCTTCAAGATCTTCTTCAGCCCATGAGGGACTGATTTCCTCTTCTTCGCATTCAACAATGGCCATTATCTTCTTGTTAGGACATTCATTGGCAAAATGTCCTATGCCTTGGCAACGAAAGCATTTGGGGGTTCGGGTGTTTGTTTGGGCTGTTTTGAATGGGGGTGGGTTGGAAGTGGTGGACAGAGGGGAGTTGGGTTTTGAATGGGTGTTTTGGGTAGGAGTGTTTGGGGTTGTTTTTGTGATAGACGGAGGGGGTTTGGAAAATGGGGAGGTTCGAATAAATGAGGTTTTGTTCCTCTTAAGTTGGGATTCAACTTTGAGGGCCAACTTAGAGAGTTCTTCAAAAGTATCATAAGGTTGTAACTCCACTACATTAGCTATTTGAGTGTTTAGTCCAAATAGATAACGTACCAATGTTTGTGAGTCGTTTTCCTGCAGGTCACACCTCATCAAGAGTTCTTCAAACTCCCGAGTATAGTCTTCAACTGAGCGAGGACCTTGCCTTAGGTGTTGAAGCCGGGCAAAGTTGTCTCGTACATATTGTTCGGGCACGAACTTCTTCTTCAACAAGCTCCTCATTTTGAGCCAAGTCTTCATAGGGGGCTTACTTTCTCGCCTTCTTTTGGTGGAGAGGTTGGACCACCAAGTGGAGGCATACTTCCGGAACTTCAATGCCACGATCTTGACCTTCTTGTCTTCGGGCACATCTTTGAAGTCAAAGACGCGCTCAACAGTTTCTAGCCACTCTAGAAAGTCATCCGGATCGTTCTTCCCTTCAAAGGTTGGTATGTCAACCTTGAAATCAGTAGTTCCTCGTTCGTGATTCTCTTCTCTAGTAGTGTTACTAGAGTTAGCTTCAGGGTGAGCTTCTTGGTCTTCATCACTTTCCTCCGGAGTGTTCACCATGCTCATCTTGAGCTTAGTGAGTTGGGCAACTTGTTTGGCCAAGTACTCCACTTGGGCCTTGAGAGCGGTATTGGAGGCTAGGAGTTCTTCGTTGGAGAGATTGTTGGAAGTGTTTGACATGATGATAGTAAGGAAAGGGAAAGGAAAAGGGGTGGAATGGATAGAAAAGAGGAAGTGTGTTGTATGGCCTCAAAGGGATGCTCAACAACAAGCTTTGATACCAAATGTTATATCTAAGCTTAGGGTTTTATGGGTAATGACCTTGACTTAAGGAACACAGCTCCTTAATTTGCAGGGATGGGCGATAGTCGATTGTACAAAGTGGATAATCGATTGTCAAGGGGTTCAGGGTAAGTATGGTTAGGGTGCATGGTTCGGCAGTGATTTCATTCCAAAAGGGATCATAACACTTGGACATTATTCCATTGATTTGTTTAAGGTCTTGAGGACGATTTGTGGTACTCGGGGATATATCAAGTTTGATGCCAAAGACCTCAACGAGGAAAATTATGCAAAGGCCATCAATATGCTATATTGTGCGGTTAACCTCGACGACTACCGGAAGATCTCCTGTTTCTCAACCGCCAAGGAGATGTGGACAAGCTTGAAGTGACGTATGAAGGTACCGATCAAGTTTGTGAGGCTAAAATCGATTTTCTCACCCAAGAGTACGAAATGTTCCAAATGAAGGAAGGTGAGAAAATCGATGACACGTTTGATCATTTTTCAAAAATCATCAACGATCTTCATGCCTTGAAGAAAAGCTACTCCAACAAGGATCTAGTGAGGAAGATCCTTCACAGCTTGACTCCTGAATGGCGCTCCAAGGCCGATGCCATCTACGAGTCAATTGGTGTCTACAACGTCACAATCGATGGGTTAAGAGGTAATCTCAAAACTTACGAATCTACCATACTTAATCCATCGTTGGACGAACAAAGAAAGAAGGGAATAGCTCTCCAAGCCACCAAGGAACCGGTGGAAGGGGTTTCAAGCGACGATGTCAACGAGTTTGGACTCGTCATCAAGAAATTCCACAAATTCATGAAGAAGGAATTTGAGGGGAAAGGAAGGAAGCACGACGGTCCCTCGAAGTGCTACGATTGTGGCGAGATTGGCCACATCAAGCCGAGGTGTCCAAAAGCCAAAAACGGAAAGGACAAGCTCGGCTTCAGGAAGCAAAGAGCTTACATCTCTTGGGGTGGCAGTTCCGGCGACGAATCAACCGATCAAGAGGAGGACGAAGTTGCCAATCTCTGCCTCATGGCGCACGAAGACCAAAGCGATGATGTACAAGAGGTATGTACCACTTCTTCCGACTCTTATACTTTTGAAAAAATGCAAGAAGCACTTCGTGAACTTTACGATGAATTTGTTAGCGCTTCGAAAACCAACAAATCTTAAAAGAAACGTCTTTCTACACTTGAAAACGATTTTGAAAAGTTGGAAAAAGATAATGAAAAACTAAAACAAGAAAACAATTTTTTGGAAAAAGAAGCGCTGACAAACCGGAAAGTTCTTCAAGTGAATGTGAATATTGTACAGGTTTAAAAGAACAAGTCACAAAACTTGAGAGTACGGTTAAGAAATTTAATACTTCGCACAAAGATTTAAATTTACTCCTTGACACTATGCATTTCTCTAAGGAAGGAATAGGCTTTAATAAAAATGAAGCTAAGGTTAAAGAAAATGTTGAGCAAACGCCTAGACAACCACCTAAAGCTCAACGTAAGAAAGCTAAAAATCAGGATAATAGAAAATCTAGTCAACCTAAGGACACTAGACAACCTAGACAAAAACCTAGGAGTGAAAATGTTCATGTTAGATAACCTAAGAAAAATTATCAAAATGATTTTGTGCATAAAAATGATTTTTCTCAAAATAGAAGAAATAATGTTAAAGTACCTAAGAAAGATCAATTTCAAAATATTCAAAGACCATTTTTTTCACAAAATAGAAACAATATGGTTAGACATCCTAGGAAGTACTACGAACCTAGGCACATGTACAACCCTAATGTAGTTTGCGATTATCGTAATAAGATAGGTCATATTGCCCCCGTTTGTTTCACTAGGCATAGGCACATATCACAAAATCAAGCACACTACCATCACACACCTAACACACGAGGACCCAACGTAAATTGGGTACCTAAAACTCATTAATGTGTTTCGTAGGTGTGCTTGAAGGCATCAAATGTACTTTGGTACCTTGATAGCGGATGCTCCAAGCACATGACCGGAGATGCATCCAAGTTTATTCAAATCAAACCTGCTAAAGGAGGAAACGTAGTCTTTGGAGACAATAGCAAAGAAAAAATTATCGGCATTGGTTCGGTAGGTAAATCCAAAGACTCCTCTGTAGATAATGTCTTGCTTGTTAAAGGTCTTAAACACAATCTCTTGAGCATAAGTCAATTATGTGACAAGGGGAACCGTGTGACCTTCGATTCAAAATCATGCACGGTAGAACGCCTTAGCGACAATAAGGTTATTCTACGTGGTGATAGAATCAATAATATTTATATGGTTAACTTAGACAAATCACCTTCTGGCTTTGCTAAGTGCCTCAAGAGTAAAGAGGAAGACACTTGGTTATGGCACCGAAGGGTAGCTCATATGAACATGAACCTTTTGAACAAATTGGTTTCACAAGACTTAGTAATTGGATTCCCAAAACTTAAGTTTGAAAAAGACACCATATGTGATGCATGTCAAAAGGGGAAGCAAGTTCGATCTCCGTTTAAGTCTAAGAACGTTGTTTCAATGTCTAGACCACTTCAACTTTTGCACATGGATCTCTTTGGTCCTTCTAGAACGAAAAGTTTCGGTGGTAATTACTTTGCGTTTGTGATTGTCGATGACTACTCTAGGTTTACATGGACCTTGTTTCTTACTCATAAAAGTGAGGCATTTCACGTTTTCAAAAATTTTCTAAAGAAAGTTCAAAATGAAAAAGATTCAACCATAGTAGCCATGAGAAGCGATCATGGGGGACAGTTCAAACGAAATCTATTTTCTGACTTTTGTGACGAACTTGGCATTGATCATAATTTCTCAGCCCCACGTACACCACAAACAATGGAGTGGTGGAACGTAAAAATAGATGTCTCGAAGAGATGGCTAGAACTATGATCAATGAGGCAAAAATCCTTAAGTATTTTTGGGTGGATGCCATGAGTACCGCGAGCTACGTTTTAAAACGCGTTATGAACTATATAAAGGGAGAAAACCAAACCTTTCCCATCTTCGAGTCTTTGGTTGCAAATGTTTTATTCATAACAACGGCAAAGATAACTTAGGAAAATTTGATGCCAAGTCGGACGAAGGAATTTTTCTTGGTTATTCATTTATGTAGCAGGGCTTATAGAGTCTTTAATAAACGTACTTTGACTATTGAGGAGTCCCCTCATGTTGTGTTTTCCGAAGATAATACTCGCTTGGCGAGAAAGGATATTTGTGATGATATTGCAGATTCGCTCGAAAGAATACACATTAAATACGATGAAGAAGTGCACCCAAATATACACCAACCTGCAGCCGCAAATTGAGGAAACACCTCAAGTGGCTACCCAAGATGCAGAAGATCAAGAGGAAGAAGAAGAACAAGAGGAAGCCCAGGAACATGAAAAAGAAGAAACTGAGCTTCCCGTCGCATGGAGAACAAACAAGAATCATCCTCTTGATCAGGTAATAGGTAGCATCAACCGAGGGGTAAATACTCGAAACTCTCTTAGGGACACCGTAGTACACATGGCTTTTGTTTCACAAATTGAACCTACAACCATTTCCGAAGCAATAAACGATGAACATTGGACCTTGGCTATGCAAGAGGAGCTAAACCAATTCAAACGGAATGACGTTTGGGAATTGGTGCCAAGGCCCGATGATCGTACGGTTATTGGTACGAAATGGGTGTTCCGTAACAAACTTGACGAAATTGGAATAATCACTAAAAACAAAGCTAGGCTTGTAGCTAAAGGCTACAATCAAGAATAAGGCATTGATTTTGAAGAAACTTATGCACTCGTAGCACGTTTAGAAGCTATACGTTTAGTTCTTGTTTTTGCCTCGTCTATGGACTTTAAACTTTATCAAATGGATGTTAAGAGTGCCTTCCTCAATGGTTTTATTCAAGAGGAAGTGTAGTTGACCAACCTCGGGGTTTGAAGACTTTGAGTATCCCGACCATGTCTTCAAACTTAAGAAAGCGCTCTACGGTCTTAAACAAGCACCCCATGCTTGGTACGAATGTTTGAGTAAATTTATTTTGGATAGTGGTTTCCAAAGGGGAAAGGTTGACACTACACTTTTTATCAGGAGTAAAAACGACAAAATCCTTTTGGTTCAAGTTTATGTAGATGATATTATATTCGGTGCTACTAATGAGTCTTTATGCAAGGAATTCTCCAAGTTAATGACTAGCGAGTTCGAAATGTCAATGATGGGCGAGCTCACGTTCTTTTTGGGACTTCAAGTGAAGCAAATAAGAGATGGCACATTCATTTGCCAAACTAAGTACTGCAAAGAACTCCTAAAACGGTTCGAAATGGACAACGCCAAAGCCATGGCAACCTCGATGAACACATCCGACCATCTTGACAAAGACGAGAAAGGTAAGGAAGTAGAGGTCAAAAAGTATCGACGTATCATCGGATCCCTTCTTTATCTTATTACTAGTAGGCCAGATATCATGTTTAGCGTGTGCCTTTGCGCAAGGTATCAATCGTGTCCGAAGGAATCGCATTTAACGGCGGTGAAACGGATCATGAAATACCTTGTTGGCACGGTTAACGTTGGACTGTGGTATCCCAAAGGGTCTTCTTGTCATCTTGTTGGTTATTCCGACTCGGAATTTTCCGGTTGCAAGTTGGACCGTAAAAGTACGAGTGGAACATGCCACTTACTTGGTAGTTCTTTAGTCTCATGGTTCAGTATGAAACAAGTCAGTGTTATCCACAACCGAAGCGGAATACGTAGCCTCCAGTAGTTGTTGTGCTCAAATCCTTTGGATGAAGCAACAACTCGTGGACTATGGCCTTAGTATCAATCACGTTCCTCTTCGTTGTGATAATACTAGCACCATAAGCTTGACGAAGAACCCCATTATACACTCTAGGATGAAACACATTGACATTAGGCATCATTTCATTAGAGATCATGCTCTCAAAGGTGATGTCGAAATTGAGTTCGTTGAAACACACAACCAATTAGCCAACATTTTCACAAAACCTTTAGAGAAAGAGTCGTTCTTCCTTGACTCCACGATGATCTAAGTTCTGCATTTTATCTTGTTAAACGTTTACTAACTTGAGCGTCGGAGAACTTTTTCTTTTTTTGCAGGTACCCCGCTCATAAAGTCCGGGGGAACCATGCAAACATCGCTGTCACAGGGAGTAATCTATTTCATTGATTTCCAGAAACTTTTTCAACATTGATGTAGCGTTTGAAACATCGTTGTTACTTCAAACACTTCTTTTTTTCAATCAAAACAAGAAACTTCTTCAACAGCGATGTACATGATTGCAACATCACTGTTCATTTTTACAAATTTTTTCCTTATCGTAAAATAGTGATATAGGAAAACCCAACAGCGCTATTTTAATGGGTTCAATCCTTTACTCATTTCCAAAAAGTTTTGGAACATCGCTGTAGGGCATTGAACATCGCTGTCCATTTGAAACCTGGTTTTTAAACTAATCGCATAACAGCGATGTACAGAGGCACAACATCGATGTCTCAACAGCGATGTAGCATACTGGACATCGCTGTTCAACTTGAATTTTTCAAAAAAATATCCGTTGGGCACTGAATTAAATGCTCCAACAGCCATATTTTTGAATTTTTGAACGTTTGGAGACCATATTTGATATATCCCAGAGCACCACAAATCACCCTCAAGTCCTTAAGGAAATCAGTGGAATAATGTCCAAGTGTTATGACCCCCTCTAGAATGAAATCATCATCAAACCATGCACCCTAACCATACTTACCCTCAACCCATCACCACATTAATAACCAATCCCAGCACTTCACAACCCATTCCCAGGAATCCAAAGAAAACCAAGCCACAATTTCCCTTTCTTCCTATTTTACAATGCCGAAAATAAGTGTCCAAAAACACACCCAGCATGGTCCCCATTATGTTCCCCAATACACTCAAATTATAAACCAAAATGCCCAGGGATATTTTCCTTCACAATAATACATCCAATCCCCACAACAAACCTACAACAAAAGTCCAAATGACACACCCCACACACACCCCTTTGTCTCCCAACCCTGACCAAATTCAAATTCCCCCAAAACCTCCACAAANTTGATTTCAAAGATGTGCCCGAAGAAAAAAAGGTCAAGATCGTGGCATTGAAGTTTCGGAAGTATGCTTCCACTTGGTGGTCCAACCTATCCACCAAAAGAAGGCGAGAGAATAAGGCCCCTGTGAAGACTTGGCTCAAGATGAGGAGCTTGTTGAAGAAGAAGTTCCTACCCGAACAATATGTACGGGACAACTTTTCCAAACTTCAACACCTAAGGCAAGGTCCCCGCTCAGTTGAGGACTATACTCGGGAGTTTGAAGAACTTTTGATGAGATGTGACATTATTTTCTATATATTTGGTCTCCCATTCATCAGTTTTTCATCTTTAAACACAAAATCCTTCCATTCCCTTGCATATTTCATCATCTCTACAAATTTTCTTTGTTTATTCTTCATCAAAATGGGCAAGGACAAGAGCAGGGCTGAAACCTCCGGGAAATCCAAGGCCAAATCCCGGGATCCTACAACGACCTCCGACGAACGCCTTTACTACGGAGACGGGTCGTACCTTTGGTTCAATTCTGAGGAAGAACGCACCCGCTTCCTCACTTTCTTCTCCAAGCGGGTTGTGGCTCCCCCGCGAATCCTCCCGGTGCGACTCCTGGAGATGCTTGGCTATGATACGCTTGACGCAGAACTGCACCAATGATGTACCCAAGCTTAGGAAAAACTATGGATAAATAAGGGCAGATTATAGAGGGGAATATATGGTGAAGAATAGGTTGGATTTGTGTATGAAATGGTGAAGAAAGTATGGTTGTTTGGAAGAGGTGATAGGGCAGAATGAAGGGCAGGAGAAAAGCAATATTATGGAGTGGTTTTTTGATGAAGTAATGAAGTGTTTAAATGGGATAAAGGGGGTGGACGAAATTGGGAGAGAAAGAGGGAGTTCTTTTGTGGTTTTTGTTGTATAAGGATAAACCAAATAACGATTAAAAGATAAATACACTCTTATTTTATTTGGGGCTGTTTCTTTTCACACAATAATATTCACTATTATTATATGAAATAGACTCCTAACACACACTCAAAAGTAGCCAACTTAAGAGATATTTCATTAGGAAATTGAGAGAATTAGTTTCACACCAACTCAAATATTACTTCAAAGAGTAAAGAAATGGAATACAATGAATATGTTTTACAAGGCCATAGGGCTGAAATATATAGGGAAAAACAGCAAGGAAACTTCACCACTCTTTCCTACAATTCAAGTGCATAATGTCTATTTGATGGATCCCATAGGTTGTCCTCATTGATCAAGGCTAAAAGGGGCTCATGGTGGTGAAATGGGCTGTCTTTGGGTGGGGAAATTCGGCCATGTGAAGGGTAGGGTGAGGGAGTGTGTCATTTTGTCCATTTATGCAAAGTAAGGTAGGTGACACATCAAGGGATTGGTTGTTTATTCCTTTGGCCTTATTATAGGTTTGAGAAGTGATTTGGGGGATGTTTGGGGGGAGGAATTCGGCCATGGGACAAGGAAATTGAGGGGGGATGGTTTTGAATGATTTTCACACCAAGACAAAAGACATGTTTAATCCTTGTCTCCTGATTTGGTCTTTTGTGTTTTGTAATGGATTGGGATTAATGGAGATGGATTCTAAGGCCAAAAGGGAATGGATTTTCGTGGGTTTGAAGTAGGGAAAGGTGGGGGAAGGTTTTATTCAAAGTAGGGAATATTAGGAAAGAAAACAGCACACACAAAGCAATTTTGTTTGTCCTTATCTCTTAGATTTTCAGCCATGCTTCAAAGGGAGGTGAAGGACTTTATTTTGGTTATTAAAGGAAAATGAAATACTTTTGGATATGTGGGAGTGTGTTGGGCTTGTAGGCATTTCAGCCTAGGTTGGGTTTTGAGAGAGAAGGGTCATGGTTCGGGCTTTAATGTGGGACGGGTCAATGAGTTCAACCCAAAATGGATCATAACACCTAGAAATTAAACACTTGACTTGTTGTAACACTAGTGGCGTGTGTGAAGGTGCATCCCGGGGTATATCAACCAATCCGGGCTATGGCCGTTTGTCTCTAAGGCCTGTAAGGAGATCAACGTGGCGTTGATTCGGGCATTCTACTCAAACCTCCGGTGTGAGGACGACGTGCTCTACAGCCTTGTCAAGAGCACACTGATCGAGCTCAACGTCGAGCCGCTTGGGCGCATCGCTAGCCTCCCCTACTAAGGTGATGACATCTCCAACGATGACGGAGAAGATTGGGTGATCAACAACGAGGGGTTGGTCCTCAACGAACTCGACATCACCACCCTCATCCGCCACGCCACGGGTCGCCCCACCATCCACTCCAGGACCCCCGAGAGCCGCCTCCTTCTCTACATCGTGTCCCGCATCCTCAAACCAAGGAAGCACAGGCACATGATTATGTCCGGCGAGGACCTCAAACTCCTCCATGCAATCATGCATTCGGCACTGGTCAATTGGGCAAAGTTTGTCATGATTTACATGACGGATGCCACGTCCATCGCCCACAATCACCTCCTTCCGTACCCCTTCTTGGTGATGGACATCTTTGAACGGTTCAAGGTTACCACCACCATTGGCCCGCTCACCAAGGCCACAAAGATTTGGACGATTAGTGACCAAACCTTCAAGAATCGGTCAGACAACGCCGCACTGCCACTGGCCCAACCGAACCCCAAGCCCGGGCCAACCTTGCCTCCATCGCCGACTCCGTCAACCACCTGAACCTCAAGGTCGATGGGATGGGCGGGTACCTTGAACGGCTCGACGAGGCTGTTCAACGCCAAGGGTACGCCATGAACACATACTTCCAACGCGTTAACTACGTCCCCCCACCGTACCAAGGCGCGTTTCTTGGGCAAGAGTACGGTGACGAGGACGAAGAGGATCATGTTAGGCACCAACTCAAGGTGACAAGAGGGAAGAGGGCTGGCCGAATGGGTTGAGGAACAAAGGGGGAATTGAGGGGGAGTTTGTGAATGAAATGGAATGGAAAAAAGGGTGTTTTAAGGGGGAAGGAAATGAGGGGCGAATGGGGCAGTGAGGTAGGGTGTTTTAGGCTTTGATTTTGGCTAAGGAGTAAGAGAAAAGGGGCTGTTTTAAAAGGGGGAATGGGAAGGCCGAAATGGAGGAGGAAGTGGAGGGAGTTCTTTAGTTGTTTTCTCTAAGGGGGATAAACCAAGTGGTGTTAAGGGATATTAGACACCCTTATCTTACTTGGGGTTGAATCTAGTATTCAAACAAGATATTACACACTTATTTAAATAACTAGAACCTAAAACTCACACTCAAGAGAACCACTCTTAAGATATAGATTTAGGGATTTGAAAAGCAAACACACACAAGTTTATTACTAAGGAAATTTCAGAATACAAGATGAACTTTTACAGGGCCTATGGCCGAAATATATACACGCGCAAGGGGGGAGCTACCAAGCTTTATTCTTCACACAAATCTAAGGAATAATGAGCACTTACTATTGTCCTTTTGGTGGGGAAAATTTTAGAGATGGGATGATGTTTGTGGGGTAGTGTGTTCGGCCATGGGTGAGGATAACTCATGTTGGAAAACATTTTTCACATTGATGTTTTGTTAATGACAGTGCTTGTTTTTATTTAGGTTTTGATATTGACAAACCGTCGGGAACATGGGACTAAATGAAAAGATTCAAAGTCATAGCAAAAGCTCTTTGAAGGAACAAAAAGCACAAGAAAGGCATTGACGTTTCTAAAGACGACGACATTGGCGTTTTGAAGATGTTGTCTAAATACTTAGGTTTTTATTGTAACAAGCTCATTCAATTTCTCTAAGCCATGGCTTAAAACAAAATATGTTTTTCATGCATCAAATGAGTGTTTTCATAAATGGTTTTAAGTTTCTAAAACCCTTGGTTCTTTCCCAACCAAGACCATAACCATCGGTTATCGGCGTTCGGCTATGGCGTTCGGTTTTTGGTATGGGTTATTGGCATTGATTTTAGCTAAATGGTTTTTGGGTTTTATCTTTGGTTTTTTCTTCTGGACAAATTTAAAGGTTTTCCAAATGATTAGTTTTCAAAAACCATAACCTTTGTTTTGCGGTGTTGGTTATCGGCATTCGGCGCTGGTTATCAGCGTTGGTTTTTGGCGCCCAATTCCATCAAGTGGTTTTTAAGATTTTATGATTAGTTTTTACTTCTGGGCATATCCAAATAGTTCTCCAACAAAAAACATTTTAAAAACCACCTTTCATTTTTGGTTTTTTGGTTAAAACCATGTGAAACGGCATAAACTTGGCTAGCCGCGGTTTCTACCTTAATGATGTGGTTTTTAAGTTTTTATACTTTGTTTCTACCTAAAATACATTATATAAGAGCTTCCAACACTTGGTTTTCATTTGGGAGAACTTTGGTTTTTGACATCGGTTTTCGGCGTTGGCAACCAAACCATGGTTCTGGCGAACCATCCCAACATGCATGTCGGAAATCCTAACAGCGATGTTTTCAAATGACTGTTGGGCCATTTCAGACAAAATCTTTCCATTTTAAGAGTCAAACACTCCAACATCAATGTAGACTTCAAGACATCGATGTTTTGATGACCGTTAGCCATTTTTAAAGGAAAGTCTAAGCCAAAACAGCGATGTTCACTATATGAACAGTGCTGTCAGGCCAAATTTAAGTAGATCCACTTTTATTTGATTTTCACAAATCAAGCCAATCAACCATAATCTTTTCCCAACCGTTGCACCTTGTTTTTGGGTATAAAAAGGGGTCTTTTGGGTCTACTTTTCACAACCATTCCTCACACATTCCATAGCTTTACATTGCATCATTCCATAAACTTTTTGCATAGCTTTTTAGAGTCATTTGTTGAGGAATTGAGTGTGTTCTTGATCTAAATTAGTTTACTCATATTCTACTCTTTAAGAGAGTTTTTGTTCTTGAGTGGTTAAGTATTGTGAACATTTTAAGGGAGGTTTGTTCCCTTGGTTGTACGAAGGAAAGGTATTCTCCTTCGGGTTGAAGTCTTGGAGTGCGGTATCTCCAAGCAAGTGTTGTTGAGGCTCGTGGGACTCGAGTTCTCAGATTGTAACGGTTTGTTAAACACCCGTAAGCTTAACGGAAGTAGTGTAGCTCGAGAGAGTCTCTCAGGAGGCTTGACTAACCACACGTTGTGGTGAACCAGGGTAAAATCGGTGTGTTCTTTCCTTACGCTTTTTTATTCTTCTCTTTACTTTATCCCTGCGATTTTTATTCCACGAAAATTTATAAACATTCTCGTGACTCATTATTCACACCCCTCTAGTGAAGGGCACTTATTCTAACAATTGGTATGAGAGCCTAACTCTCTAAAAGCCTTAACGGGTTGAGAGAACGATCTATATTTCTTTTGAGAATGTTGAGCACAGGATCTTTTAGCGAAAGACACTCTTTAACAAGGCCACCACTCTTTAATGGAGTACATTACTCTTATTAGAAAGAAAGAATGAGAATATTCATTCAATCCGTTGATTACACACTATGGATGGCAATCAACAATGGAGTTTCTCTCCCAACGAAGAAGGTGGGCAAGAAAAGAGTAAAGAAACTCGAGGAGGAGTACAATGAAGAAGATATCAAGAAGGTGGAACAAGATGCAAAAGCTCTTAACCTTCTACTTTGTACAATTGACGCGCAAGAAATTCAAAAGTTCTCTAGATATCAAACGGCTAAGAATCTATGGGATAACATTCGTGAGAAATACGAAACTCTACAAGGAGAAAAAGAAGCAACCCATATTTGTCTCATGGCCAATGAGAAATAAGAGGTAAGTACTTCTAACTCTCTTTCTTTTGAAGAATTACAAGAAGCTTTTAAAGAACTATTTGGTAAATTCAAGAAAGCTTAAAAAGTTGTCAAAGAGGCTAAAGATAAACTTCATGCGTTCGAAGAAGAAAATAAATTTTTAGAAAATGATAATCTTGACCTTAAAAATAAGATTAAGGCAATGAATGAAGCTTCTTCCTTTGACCAAAGTTCTACTTGTTCTACTTGTTCCTCTTGTGAGTCTTTAAAAATAGAGAATGAAGAACTTAAGAGCACCATAGAAAAACTTAAGGTAGAAGAGCCTAAGAAACTTGGTGAAGAAGTTAAGAGAACAAATAATCCTAGGAATAAAAAAATTAATTTTAGGAAGAATAAAAATAATAAGTTGATACAACCTAAAAATGACTCTAAGATTTTTATAAATGATAGGAAAAATTTGAGATAACCTAGAAATGAGTCTAGGAATTTAGTTAATAATTCTAAAAATAATGATTTTAGATCACCTAGAAATTTTTTGGCTCAACCTAGGCATTTGCATAATCCAAATGGAGTTTGCCATTATTGCTCTAAGATAGGACACATAGCACCCGTTTGTTTTACCAAACATAGGGATTTGTTTTATAGCTATGATTATTATTTGCCTAACCCTCAAGGACCCAAAAGTTTTAGGGTTCCTAAAAATTATTTTTAGATGCATATGTAGGTGTGTTTGAAGACTACATTTTTGTAGTAGATGCTCCAAGCACGAAACCTAATGATTTGCATCAAGGGGAGTTTGGGGGGAAATGTTTTTGCTACAAACATGGTATCATTTTCAGGGGGAACATACAACAATGATGTTTTGTATTAAACATCAATGCTCAGGGAGTACACTTTTTAAACTTTTTTTAGTGCTTTTTGCTAATGCTAAAAGGGGGAAGTGTTTGGGTATATGCTACAAGTGAGGGGAATCACGTTTTCAAAGATGTAGGGGGAACTACTCTCATTTTGAAAATCCAACTTGACTTGCATATCCCCGCCTTGGTTTGTCATTATCAAAAAGGGGAAAATTGTTGGAAAACATTTTTCACATTGATGTTTTGTTAATGACAATGCTTGTTTCTGTTTAGGTTTTGATATTGACAAACTGTCAGGAACATGGGACTAAATGAAAAGATTTAAAGTCATAGAAAAAGCTCTTTGAATGAACAAAAAGCACAAGAAAGGCATTGAGGTTTCTGTTAGGTTTTTATTGTAACAAGCTCATTCAATTTCTCTAATCCATGGCTCAAAACAAAATTTGTCTTTCATGCAACAAATGAGTGTTTTCATAAATGGTTTTAAGTTTCTAAAACCCCTGGTTCTTGCCCAACCAAAACCATAACCATCGGTTATCGGCGTTGGGCTATGGCGTTCGGTTTTCGGCATGGGTTATTGGCATTGATTTTAGCTAAATGGTTTTTGGGTTTTTATCTTTGGTTTTTGCTTCTGGACACATTTAAAGGTTTTCCAAATGATTAGTTTTCAAAAACCATAACCTTTGTTTTCCGGCGTTGGTCATCGGCATTCGGCGCTGGTTATCGGCGTTGGTTTTTGGCGTTCAAATCCATCAAGTGGTTTTTAAGATTGTATGATTGCTTTTTACTTCTGGGCATATCCAAATAGTTCTCCAACAAAAAACATGTTAAAACCCACCTTTCATTTTTGGTCTTTTGGTGAAAACCATGTGAAATGGCATAAACTTGGCTAGCCGTGGTTTTTAGCTTAATGATGCGGTTTTTAAGTTTTTATACTTGGTTTCTACCTAAAATACATTATATAAGAGCTTCCAACACTTGGTTTTCATTTTCGAGAACTTTGGTTTTTGACATCGGTTTTCGGCGTTGGCAGCCAAACCATTGTTCTGGCGAACCATCCCAACATGCATGTTGGAAATCCCAACAGCGATGTTGGCATTCAGAAGTCATGGGCAGTAGGTTTTTGAACAGCGATGTTCATTGTTGAACAGCGATGTTTTCAAATGACCGTTGGGCTATTTAAGACAAAATCTTTCCATTTTTGAGAGTCAAACACTCCAACATCAATGTAGACTTCTAGACATCGATGTTTTGATGACCGTTAGCCATTTTTAAAGGAAAGTCTAAGCCAAAACAGCGATGTTCACTATATGAATAGTGTTGTCAGGCCAGATTTCAGTAGATCCACTTTTATTTGATTTCCAGAAATCAAGCCAACCAACCCTAATCTTTTCCCAACCGTTGCACCTTGTTTTTGGGTATAAAAAGGGGTCTTTTGGGTCTACTTTTCACAACCATTCCTCACACATTTCATAGCCTTACATTGCATCATTCCATAAACTTTTTACATAGCTTTTTAGAGCCATTTCTTGAGGAATTGAGTGTGTTCTT